ACTGAGGACCATCTCTGGTTAGACTTCACCTGCAGTCTGCCTGAACACAGACTGGAACCATTCAGCAGCCGGACAGAGTCTGCAGAGATCAGAGACGGCAGACACACAAGACAAAGATGGCAGCAAACAACTATTCACTCATTCAGACTCACAACTCCAACATGAGTTCATCATTAACAACAGAGTGTTATAACAGCGACACTGGGCTCACGTCAGCATCACGATTAGATTTTGTCGCAGATTTTTGAATAAAACTTTGATTAGCAAATGTTCCAAAGCTGTCAAAAGGATCAGGGCTGAACTTTTAAAGAAGTACCCAGGGTGACCATGTTTCTCTGGCCTCCTCTCACACACTGCACAGCTCTTTCTCCTCTTGAGCTCATGATAAACAGGTTTCTATACAGAAACAGGATTGTGGCAGTCTGCATGTTACAGGTTGAGGCTGATTGCATACACATGGAGCTACGAAGAAGTTTAATTTAGGTTTAATAAACTCCTACAGTGATCTTGCATGGACAAAAATTCTTTTTGGCCTTTTCCTTAGTGAAGAGCAGACAGAGAGAGAGGGGGAACAACCCCTTTCCCCCATTTATTCTATATATTTTTGGTTTTCTTTAACAAAACTTTGCTGTGTCTGGTCTCATCGTTCACACCATCTGGGCTCCGTAGAACTTTAAATTCACCCACTGCAGTAAAACTAGCCCTTAAATAACTTTGCGTTACATGTGGCGAGTCGGCCTGATGTGTGAATGAATGGTTTTGTGTTTTTAATTGGGTATTTTCTGTGTTTTGAAAGGTCTGCGACCAGAAAAACATGAAGTTTATTAAGAAAAGTGGTGTCAATGTTGCACAAGATTTGAACTGCGTGAAACTGAGATACGTGTGGTGGAACAAAATTAAAACAAGAACAAGTCAAACAGTAAAAACTGGAAACCAGCAGCTCAGAAACCCATTAAGCTGAAGAGGGAGCACCGACATGCTGGTTGGTGATTGGTCCAGAGTACTCCTGAAGTCCTGCTGGTCTGCTTACCTAAACAGGTGAGATTGAGGATGGTGGTAGAGGGTAACGGTCGTAAGCAATCCCCCAACTTAGACCCGGACTGAAAACAGTCAGGTCTGATCGACCATACGAGCCTCCGTGGGGACTTCCTCTCTTGTACAGAAACAGCAGAGCCACAGTCCAGATGTTCACAGACCACAGCTGCTTTCTTCAGGGTCCAGTTATAGAAGTCTACTGGTCTCCATTCTCTCACATGCTTCATCTCCAGTGTCCCTCCACAGTGACTGGCTTTTCCCACCAACCTGACTTCATCAGGCTCTGAACAGGAAGCATCAGTAAAGAAAAAGGTCAAAGGTCAAACGCTGATTCGACTTTTGTGATTATTTATTTCTCTTTGACTGCGTTTACCTGCTGAGCTCTGATTTCTCTCACTGATTCCTGAGGAGAAAATCAGAGAAGAGAGATTGATAAAAGTAACACGTTACTGTAATCTGATTACTTTTAAGTAACCAGCAATGTAAGGGATTACTATTGCAAACAAGTAATTAGATTACTGTTACTTTCGCATAAGCACACTGCGTTACTAAACCGTGATCAACGATGGATAATATGGAGCAATGGAGAGAGTACGACTGTGCAGCGTTTAAAGCTTGGAAGTAATCACATTACTTTGAGTGTGACCCTGTAAAAGTGAGACAAACATTAGCGTCTGCTGTTCACTGTGTGGGAAGAAAACTTCTTTTTACAGCGAAACCCCCTAAACATCCGAGCAAGCACCGAGTAGCTGCCAGGGAATGTGAAACTGCAAGGCTGGATCCAGCTTCTATGGGGGAGAGGGAGGGTCTAACAAATGATGTGCCATTTACAGATGTTTGCCTTTAAAGTTGTGTTTTTATTATACTTGTTATACATTCCAGCCACCCATGTCTATGAACTATATAAGAAAAATGTGGAAACTTCTTCACAAATAAAATTTTAACCATTAGACAAAAAAGGACTCGAGAGCATGATTTAGACACAGTCTGCAGCTCTGAAACCTCCGGTACATCCTCACTCACAGAAACACATCTTTGGCAGTGACGCACAAGCTAACCGCACGAGGTAAACACGCCCACAGCACAGAAAGGAAGTGTCCTGACGTATGAGACGTTCTCACACCTCGAGTTTTTTCTTACATTTAGTTTGGTGCTCCTCACATACAAGGTCGTAAATAATCAGGCCCCATCTTATCTTAATGACCTTGT